TCAAGACGAACAAAGAGCCAATGCTGATGCCTCGCAGAGCATCGACCGAGACGCCTCGGCAGACGGCAATGTCGATGCTTTGGCAGACGCCAGCACAGACTGGAACGACGCAGCAGACGAGTCGCTTGTCCGCGACGACACGCTCGCCTCGGTCGAGGCCTCTTTGGACGAAAGCCGTCTCGAAGTGGAGCCAGAGGCCGAAGTCGTGCGGCGACCCGAGCAAACCTCACAAAGCGTGGCGACCAACGTCGCTTTTGACGCGTCTTCGGTCTCTGATGCGAGTGCGCGCTACGCGCTATTCCCCACACACATCGACAGCGCCCTTCTTCCAACTCCCTACGTCCTCATCCCCAGTCTTGCGGACAACGGCGAAGTTTCGTCCACGGCGAATCTCGGCTCATTCAACACATCTGCGCATCAGCACGGCGATGGCGATGTGTCCATGGATGCTCCCGAGAGCGAATCAGTCTCGCAAGCCGACATCAGCGTGTCTGTCATGCAGGAAGATACCGCTGATGGCAGCGTTAGTCAAGCTGAACCAAGCACGCGACAGCGTTCAGAATCCATCTCGTCGGAGCTCTCGTCGGAGCTCTCGTCGGAGCTCTCGTCGGCTTCCCTTCAAAGCGCGCATGTCCAAGAGCAAGACGACGAGTCATTCCGACGCAAGTACCAAGCCAGGTCGGACTCCACATCAGAGCCCAGCGTGGCTCGCGCTCGTCGTCTCTCCCTCAGCACCGACTCGGAGAGTGCAAGTGACGCGGACAAGGACATCACCGACGACGAGCAAGAGGATGAAGAGGAGGTGGACGAAGAGGTAGACGCCAACGAGAGCTCCCACCACTCATCCCTCTCGCGCGACGTTGGTGCCCGCAGCTTCGAGAGCACCGACGCCCGAGAGCACGGCGAGAGCGGCGACGAGCAAGGCAGCGAGCAAGACGAGCTTTCGGCCTCTGACGAATCGGTGTTGAGCAACGATGATGCATCGAGCCTCGACGACAGCAGCGACGAAGATGAGGAGGACGACGACGACGAAGAGCAGGCGAGCGAAGATGGAGCCGAGCGCGACGTGGACGAAGAAGAGCATGACGAGGATGACGATGCTTCTTCGACGCACTCGCGCGTGGACGACGACGAAAGCGAGCAGCTGGACTCGGTGGTCATCCTTTCATCCTCGGCTTCTCCCGCTGTCTCGACGAGCCACTTTGTTGCGACACGCGATGACGACGGCGAGGCGGAAGATGATAGCTACGTGGTGAGCATTGTGCGCGACTCTCGGGACCGCACGCATCGTGCTCGCTCGCACAGCATTATCGACGACGAGCCGCACATCCACACGCTTCATCTTCGACAGCCCGTCACGTCGGCCGATGCAACGGGCAGCATCACTGCGGATGCCTCGCACTCGCGCAGCCGCGTGCTCAAGCTCGGCCAGGCCACGTCGACGCCGATCGTCGAGATTTCATCGCTCGACCCCCGGGCGGCCGCACGCGCCACGGCCATCCTCAAGCTCTTCCACAAGTACGTCGACGAGGGCTGGATCTCGGCTGGCGACATGGACGCGACGGGCGCAAGCAGCGCTACGGGCGAGCGCATGCGCCGAGTCGTCGATGCCATTCGCCGCGCAGACACACACGGCCGTCTGGAAGACGCCTCGGCTCTGCAACACAGCCTCGAGCGCGCGGATGCCACGAGCGCAGCGGCCGATCTCACGACTCTGCTCATGGATGCGGAGCTCGCTCTTGCACGCCAAGGCAGCGCGGATACCGAGAGCCTGCTCGGCTCGCGAGCCGCAAGCGTCGTCTCGGCACATCGACTGCCGACCGCATCGCCCGCCACACCTTTCCTGCCCGGCGGCTTCCGTGCGACGCCTGCTGCATCCAACACACGCATCAACGACACTGCTTCGCCCTCGCCGGCGGTGGCGTCACGCTCGCGTGCGCACGACTCGACGATCGCCAGCGCTGTGTCGTTCCCTGGCCTGTCGACGCCGGACCGTCGACGCCGCAGCACTGCCAAGCAATCGCGGCTCTCTCAGGCGCTCGCGGCGCCTGCGCCCGACAGCTTTGACGCGCGCGTGTGGGGTACGCAGGACTGGGTGCGTCTCGACAAGTACTTTGCGCTCGGCGTGCAGAAGATCTCGTCTCGCCTGCTCTCGTCTACCTCTGCGGGTACCGGGGCCGATAAGATGCTCCGCGCGAGGTGCTACATGGACGCGCTGTTCGACGTCGACGTTGGCGAGGTGGCTTCGCTCTTTCTTGCCGAGATGCACATCGCGCACGCTGATCAGGTCGGCGAGTGGACGCACACCAAGCTCACGCACCGGCTCGAGGCGCTTCGACGCAAGTACGCGCGCAAGATCCACAGTCGCTATCCGGATGCGCTCCACGACGCGCGTGCGCTGTCCGAGACGGGTGCAGACGATAGTCTGGCCACCGAGGACCTGGACTGGAGTGTCGACACAGCAGCGCCGGAGCCTGTAGAGGCACGCGGTGGGGTGCAGGCGGCCAAGGGGCGCGTGTCGTTTGGTACGCCGTACCGGATGGGTGCACATAGCACGCCGGCGGTGGGACTGCTCAAGAAGGCGACACGCCGTGCGGCGCGAGATGCGATGCAACGGTCCGAGCCGGTCTATCCTGCGCTTCCCGACCACGAGGCCGGCAATGCAGACGCGACCGAGGCGGAGGCGGGGGAGGGGGTGATGACGCGTGCCTCGCGCCTCATCTCGCGCCTCAGCGGCGGGTTTGGCGGTCTCCTTTCCAGCCCACGTCCCGATGCTCCTCGTCCGGACAAGGGTAAGCGCAAAGCCACCGAGGCCGAACTCTCTCCCGCCCGCGTCCGCCGTCGCGTCGAGCCGGACGCGAGCGATGAGGCGGACACCACGGCATCTGCGAGTTCAGGCGACTCGTACGTCGAGTCGTTCCTCAGCACCGTCCCGCCCGTACATCGCGGGCTGACCACCACGATCAATGCATCGATGCTGACGAACGCTACGTCGATCCGACCAGACGCCTCTGTGCGCGGTCCCAAGCGGACGACGCTGGAGTCGCAGAGTCTGCTTGCACCTGCCTCCGTGATTGCTCCTTCGCACGGAGGAGGGGGTACAGGATGGGGTAGCACCCGTCAGCTCTCCGGAGGATCTTCCGGAGTCTCTCACACGCCACTGTCTCTGCTTTCGCCCGCCACGCACCGGGCTGCAGCCAAGAAGGTGGATGAGCTGCGGCAGAGTCGTGCGCAGCGCAACTGGACGAGTCCGCGCCGTGCGCGACTGCACCGACCCCCCACGCTCGGCACTGGTGCTGGGGACACTTCGAGCTCCAGCAGTGGTCGCGATGGTAGTGCGAGGTACGATTAGTTTTTGGTGGCGATGTAGACAAAGTAGTGAAACATATCTCCCAGTGTCCTAGTTTCGACTGTCCAGCCTGGGATGGCTTCGAGGTACTTTTGACGAAAGTGAGGTTGACCGAAGGTGATGTAGACCATCTTGCCACCCTTTTTGAGGATCTTGTCTACACCGTTGAGCATGAGGTTGATGTCGGTGAGGACTTTTGGGCTTGGATTCCAGACGGAGGATCCTTTGCCTTCGGCCATTAGGGCGTCCATTGTGCCCTTATCCAGTGCAATATCAAAGCTCGCTTCGCCGCCGAGGGTGGAGAGGTTGGAGGTGTGGTCGAGTTGGGTGATGTCCATTTCGAGCCAGGTTTGGTCGGGGTATCGCTGGAACATGCGCGTGATGAGGGTGGACGAGTAGTCGATGTTGACAATCTGCGTGTATCCAGCCGTGTGCATCGAGGGCGAAAGCGTGCTGTTGCCACATCCCAGCATCAGGATGCGCGCCGAACGCTCCGGTATCACTTCGTCAAACAACTCCCTACTAGATGTCAGCCTTACCCAATCCAATGTAGCTTGCCAAGAAGCGGACTTACTTTAGATCATCATACTGTTGAGCACAAGCGTCAGTAAAAAAAGGTCGCGAGCAAAGACCCGGGATCGGCGGCTCACCTTCTTGAACCAGTCAAAGTCCTGCTCGCTCTCGTCGGCATAGCGTTGATCCCAGTACTCCTTTTCGCTGAACTGCTCGTTGCGCTCCGCCGTCAACGACATCCTGTCCAAGCACCAATCGTGAACAAAGTTGATAAGATGAAGAGGCTGCGACAACAAGCGCATTTCAGGGTCCACGCGAAGAAAAAGAGCATCCGCATCCGCCCCCGCATCTCCGACTCCCGCACGCCCTCTTCCTCCCCGACCTCCCCAACGTGCCCCCAATCTCCCCTTCTTGCAGCAACACTTCGCTCACAACCAACTCGTCATTCACACAGTCACTCCTTTGACAAAGATGTCCGGACAGGTTTTTACATTTCAACAAGCAGCGTCGGTGGTCGCATGGATCGCATCAGAGCTGACCGCGGTGGCAAGCTCAGGCCGACATGTAAGTGGACGCCTCGATGGTCTCGGGCAGCTCGGGCACGGCGACCTCGAACCTGGACTGGATCTGCTTGAGCACCTCGGCGTCCTCGTCGGAGCTGACAAACATGATGGCGAGACCCTTGGTGCCGAATCGACCCGCCCTACCCACACGGTGGAGGTACGAGTCGGCATCGGTGGGCGTGTCGTACGAGATCGAGACGTTGACACGCTCCACGTCGATACCACGGCCAAAGATGTCGGTGGCGACGAGGATGCGCTTCTCGAAGTTCTTGAACTGCTGGTAGCGCTTGATGCGCTCCTCCTGCGCCAGGCCGCCGTGGATGCAGATCGAGGGGAAGTTGCACTCGCGCAGCAGCTTGTCCAGCTCGTTGGCGCGCGAGATCGACTTGACAAAGATGATCACCTGGTTGAACTCGAGCGAGTCGAGCAGATCGTTGAGCTTGCGGTTCTTGGCCGACTCCTCCAGACGCACATAGTGCTGCTGCAGTCCGTGCAGCGTCAGCTTCGTCTCGTCGTCCACATAAATCTCCAGAGGCTGTGCATCATCGACCCAAAAACAGACGCGTCAGTCAAAAATTTACCCTAGACTTGATCGATCTGATGCGGGGGCTAGCGGGGCACTTACGTTCTGCATGAACTTCTTGCACGTGGGGCGCACCTCCTTTGCGAGCGTGGCCGAGAACATCATGACCTGCTTGTGGTGCGGCGTGGCACGGAAGATGTCCTGCACGTCGCGGCGCATGTCGACCTGCTCGAGGATCTTGTCGCACTCGTCAATCACAAAGTGCTTGACGCCCGACACCTTGAGGCTCTTGTCGCGCACCAGCGCGTTCATGCGGCCGGGCGTGCCCACGAGGATGTGCGGGCACTTGGTCTTGTCCTTGAGCATCGCCTGGTTCTCGGCGACGGGCGTGCCGCCGTAGATGACGCCCGTGCGCACGTCGGGCATGTACTTGGTGAATCGCGCGTACTCGTTGCGAATCTGGTACGCCAGCTCGCGCGTGTGGCACAGCACCAGCACCGACACCTCGCCGTCGACGGGCTCGATCTGCTGCAGCGTGGCCAGCACGAACACGGCCGTCTTACCCATACCGGACTTGGCCTGGCACACGACGTCCATGCCGAGGATCGACTGCGGGATGCATTCCTGCTGGACTGTTGAGGTTCACGCGTCGATATGAGGGTGTGGTTGAGTGAGAAGGAGAAGGCGGGTGGGCAATGGATTGGTGGGGACTGCACTTACCTTCGGAAGGGTGCTCGAAACCGAGGTCGGAGATGGCTCGGAGGAGCTCCGGCTTGAGAAGGAAGTCACGGAAACCTGTAGAGTGGATGCCGACGTAGGAGCCCTGTTGACGCGAAAGGTCGATGTCGGAGGTGCAGAGTCCGGAGGCAAAGTTGCGTAGCGAGCAGCATCGTAGCGGAAGGTATGACCGATCCCGGCAGTGGTACGCCCAGCACCGCAAAGCAACCGAGCCGATCGGGAGCAGCATGATCGCGAGACGTGGTCACGCAATTGGCCAGGTGGCGTGAGGACGATAAAAGAGTCGATGGAGCGTTGACGTGTGATGGAGGTGGAGGCGGGCAAAGGCGGCGAATGGGGTGCGAGGAGATGCAAAGGAGATGTAGAAGAGATAGAGTTTAGAATGGGTCTTGCCTCGGAAGTTGGAGCAGCGGACGGTGCGCTTGCGTCGACATGTGTGACTCGAAGTCCGATTCTGTGCCGAATCGCCTTGACAGTGCGCTGAGCAAGGGACCCACACGGCCGCGATGGCATGCTACGATGCGTGGTGCAGAGCGAGCGCTCTGGGGGGGGCGGTAGGAAACGGGTTCTCGTCATGGTCGTCGTGGATGGATGCTTGCCTTTTTGTCTTGGTCGGCGTCCGCAGTGGCGGCAGCACCGTTGCCGGTGGCAGCGGCGCCGTTGGTGGCGGAAGGGGCGACGGCGACCTCCTCCTCGTAGTCGATCAGGCTATCATTGCGCACGCAAGGTCGAGACGCGGACAGTCAAGGCGGTCGCGAGAGAGAGGACGAGAAGGTGCAGGTTGGTGGCGAGTGTGCAGAATGCAGAGAGTTAGTATGAGTGCTGATCGTTGCGAGCCGTGACATCGTGGGCGAATGGCCTCGTGTGAAGGTGCCAGATGTGCAAGGTTTGCGGGGAAGAAGAGCGCGAGACTCACTCTTCGTTGTCGATGGCGGACATGTTGCTATGGGTGTGTGTGTGTGGTGTGCGGAAGTGTACGGATCAGGTGCAGGTGAGAAACCGAGAAAGAATCGACCAAAAAGGTGAGAAGCAGCGGAACAAAGGGGTCGGGAGATGGTGGTGCGGAAGCTGGTGACGCGCGGGCAGCTGAGCGCGACGTCGAGAAGAAGTCGAAGCGCCTCTCACTCTGTGTGCGTGGATGGAAACGCCAGGGCGGCAGAGACACACGCTCCGCTCGCGGCCAGGCTCTGCTGCTGCCCCGCCACTCGTGTTCTGCCCTAACACGCCCAAAATGCACCAACACCGTGCGCCGCTGCAGCCTGCAGGTCGCGGCAGCCGGGCACTTCATCTGTGCTAGCCGGGTGATCGCGTCTTCATCAAGCCGCCAGACGGGCGAGGCGCGGCAGCTGTGTATTTTCGCCGTCGATGAGTCCATAACTCTCGTACGATAGGCACTCCCTCTCTTCTCCGCCATGCCTCCGGCACCGGCATGCTGATCGCTGCGATTCTTTTTCGTCCTTGTAACTGTGGCTAGGGCATCTGCAGGTGTCCGAAGCTCGTAATGAGCCTCCTGCAAGTGTGCCGAACACAGCATTGTCGCCGAGTAAAGAGACGAGAGCCCAGCTACAGAAGCGCAAATTGAGTCTGCAAAAATGGGCGTGAAATAAAGGCCATTTTTTCCCGAGAAAAAAGTCAGCACTGATCGGGCGATCGAATTTTCTCAATCAGGCCGATGAGGAGGTTCGGCTTCTAGGGCGGAAGGCGGCGCGGACAACTGTATGCCGCGATGCCGTCCACGCCGGATAGATAGGCGCTTGCCGGGGCGATCAGCACAGCATGTGCGTACGGATGGCCAACCCAGTCTTTTTGCCGGTCTGATAGGCAGCATCGGAAGAGCTTGTTCGCCCTCGATCCACACTCGCCGTCCCAAGCGACCAGAACCGTGACCCATGTCTGCGGTCAGGCCTCTGCGGAAGCTCGATGGCACGTTCCAACGCTATCCTCGAATCCAAGCTAGCCGCGTGTGACGCGCCGAACCCGAACACAATTGCCGACCCTGATATCAAGCCACCGCAGACAGACAGACGTTGAGGACGTGCCTGTTCAAGATCCAGCCAGGTCGCGGCTTCTTCGGGGCGAAATCATGCATCGAAGCTCATGTGGAGCACGACTCTGCGATAGCGGCAACAAAATCCAACACGACAACGCGAGGGAAAAAAAGAGGGGAGCGCGATTGCCGGACTGATTGCCGGCGAGCTGAGATCCTTGGCAGCCAAGCCAGCAACGCGAACCAAGACCCTTCCTCCTCTGCTGAATTGGCATCGACGTGCCGCATACGTAGCCGGGTCGACACTCTCCGTTGCCGCTTCCCCCGAAAGTCGCCGTGCCACGGCGGAGGGTATAAGTAGATCCGCTCCCGAACGCTACGCCTGCCTTTCCACTCCAAGAAAGCTTGTCCCCACTCCAGCCCACTTCGATCAACGAAAGCCACCATGACCAAGACGCTTCACGAACGATTCCTCCAGGAAAAGACGGCGGCCATCGTCGGCTGCCCCTTCTCGGGCGGCCAGCGCCGCAAGGGAGTCGACACGGGTCCCATCTCGCTCGTGTCGGCGGGCATCTGCGAGCAGCTCGAGTCGCTCGGCTGGAAGGTCGAGTTTGACGGCCACCACTCGTTTGACCACATCAACGACAAGATCGCCACGGACACCGACATTGGCAACATGAAGCTGCCGCGCACGGTCTCGGCGGTGACGCAGGAGGTGGCCGCCACGGTCGAGTCGCATGCCAAGCAGGGCAAGCTGCCCCTCACGCTCGGTGGTGACCACAGCCTTGCGCTCGGCACCGTCACGGGCACGCTGCGTGCTCACCCGGATGCGGCGCTCATCTGGATCGATGCCCACGCCGACATCAACACGCCCGACACCACCGAGTCCGGCAACCTACACGGCTGCCCCGTCTCGTTCCTGCTGGGCCTGGAGGGTACGGATGTGGAGCCGTTCAACTCGTGGGTGCCCAAGAAGCCGCTGCTGCGCCCCGAGAGCCTGGTGTACATCGGCCTGCGCGACATCGACGCGGGAGAGCGCAGGATCCTCAAGCAGCACAACATCAAGGCGTACAGCATGCACCACGTCGACAAGTACGGCATCGGTCGCGTCGTCGAGATGGCGCTCGACCACGTCAACGGCGCACCGGGCAAGCGCGATCGTCCCGTCCACCTGTCGTTTGACGTGGATGCGCTCGACCCCAGCGTGGCTCCTAGCACGGGCACGCCGGTGCGCGGCGGCCTCACCTTCCGCGAGGGCCACTACATCTGCGAGGCGCTCTACGAGACTGGATGCCTCGTCGCCCTCGACCTCATGGAGGTCAACCCTTCGCTGCTCGAGGACCGCGAGGCCCAGCAGACGATCGCGGTCGGATGCTCGCTCATCCGCTCCGCCATGGGCGAGACCCTCCTCTAGTTTAATTTTTCGCCGCCTCGCTATACCTGTATCATTCTGTAATCTAGACCAGCGCCGCCGCCTCCCGCGCCCGCCTCCCCTTTTTGTTCATCCGCCATCGCAGTGTGAAGAGCAGCACTTGAGCGGTTGCGGAACTGCTGAGCGAGAGAGTTGATGAGCTGGCCGACGCCCAAAGCTTGAGCCTCCGCGCAGCGTTGTGACTTTATCGTGTATTCTTCCTCCACCTTTGTGATGCTCGCCGGACCTGCCCAGCGCTTGCACTCAACTGCTGGCTGAGCCAGGGCAAGGAAAAAAAAAGTGTTGCTCTCGCGCTGCACACGAGAGCGAACTGAGCTACGCCTGCCTGCCTGCCTGCTTTCCTGCTTGCCCGTCTGGGACGACGCGCTGATTTGCACGATTTCCAGGCGTGGCCATTTTTCTCCACTTGAGCAGCAGCATTAGCGGTTGCGCGATCAGGGTCCTGACACACGGCCATGCAGTCGTGGCTGCTCAGCAGAAGGCGCGTGTGTGAGAGTGTGTCGGTTGAGCTCCGATAGCCAGCCAGCTGTGCCGCCGAACCAACGAACGAGAACGCATTCATGATTCACATTGGCCGTCTTTTCTCTCTCTCTCTCTCTTTCCCTCCCTCTCCCACACCGCTCTTATCGTCTTTGCGTGGCAGCAGCAGCAGCAGCAGCAGCAGCAGCAGCAGCA